ATATATCATGGATATGGGTGATTGCATAAAATAATGACATGAGATTATAAAATAATGATAAGTGGGAAGTATGATTTGTTGTATGTTTTATTTCATTTTAGCAGCAGTTAGATCGAATACTAGAATTAGTTATTGCCGCCAAGAGGGCAATATATTATGGGTCCTTATTAAATTCTAAGACGATCTAGCCATGTACATCCTTCAGAGGGGGACACATAACTATACCAAATTGGACGTGCAGATTCAGACAAATGTAGAGCATGTAGAGGGGACTGTAAAACTCTGGAGCACTTTCACTAGACTATAGACTAGATTATGGACTAGATTATGGACTAGACTATAGACAAGACTATAGAATAGACTATAGACTAGAGTATAGAATAGACTATAGGCTAGACTAAAGACTAGAATATAGGCTACACTATAGGCTACACCATAGGCTACATTATAGGCTAGACTATAGACTAGACTATAGACTAGACTATAGACTAGACTATAGACTAGACTATAGACTAGACTATAGACTAGACTATAGACTAGACTATAGACTAGACTATAGACTAGACTATAGACTAGACTATAGACTAGACTATAGACTAGACTATAGACTAGACTATAGACTAGACTAGACTATAGACTAGACTATAGACTAGTCTATAGACTAGACTATAGACTAGACTATAGATTAGACTATAGACTTGACTATAGACTAGACTATAGACTAGACTATAGACTAGACTATAGGCAAGACTATAGACTAGACTATAGACTAGACTATAGACTAGACTATAGACTAGACTATAGAGACTATAGAATAGACTATAGACTAGACTATAGACTAGACTATAGAATAGACGATAGACTAGACTATAGACTAGACTATAAAATAGACTATAGACTAGACTATAGACTAGACTATAGACTAGACTATAGACTAGACTACAGACTAGACTATAGACTAGACTATAGACTAGACTATAGAATAGACTATAGAATAGACTATAGAATAGACTATAGAATAGACTATAGACTAGACTAGACTATAGACTAGACTATAGACTAGACCATAGACTAGACTATAGACTAGACTATAGACTAGACTATAGACTAGACTATAGACTAGACTAGACTATAGTCTATAGACTATAGACTAGACTATAGACTAGACTAGACTATAGACTAGACTATAGACTAGACTATAGACTAGACTATAGACTAGACTATAGACTAGACTATAGACTAGACTATAGACTACACTATAGACTACACTATAGACTACACTATAGACTACACTATAGACTAGACTATAGACTAGACTATAGACTACACTATAGACTAGACTATAGACTAGACTAGACTAGACTAGACTAGACTATAGACTAGACTATAGACTAGACTATAGACTAGACTAGACTATAGACTAGACTATAGACTAGACTATAGATAGACTATAGACTAGAATATATACTAGACTATAGTCTAGGATATATACTAGACTACGGACTAGACTATAGACTAGACTAGAAACTAGTCTAGGAACTAGACTATAGACCAGAATATAGACCAGATTATAGACTAGACTATTGACTAGACTATAGACTAGACGAATATAGTCTAGTCTGTAGACTACACTACAGACTAGACTATATACTTTACTATAGACTAGGCTATAGATAACACTATAGTCTAGACTATAGACTACAAGCAGGTCGCTTGACTACTATGTGGACTATTTATCAAAAGTTAATAAAATATTTATAAAAAAGTAGGATTAAAACATTTTTCCTACACCTTATAAATTAACTACACTCTCCTAATCTCACATGACAATCTTTATGGAAACACCCATATTGCTTAGTAAGTTTTCTTATCACAATATAAAATCGCGCTCCCGCACACTAAATGTATGTATGAATGTGTTTGTTGTGTTGTATATCTGTGTTTATATTTTATATGTATGTCAGAATGTCTGTATTTTTGTGTATATTGTTTAGTTTTGCTGGTGTTTTTGTTGTAGTTATTGTTATTATTGTGAGTTTTATAAAGATCGACTCAATTCAAAAACTCACAAAATGTTGAAATGTTGCGATATGACAAACGTACGAAATATTTGTATATTTATTTTTGTTATTTTGTTTTGGTTTTTAAGCAAAACGTTTAGACAAAAAGCAATAAGCAAAATTATTTTGTAGGAAAATGAGAGAGTCCGTGTTAGAATAAGTAAATTTGAGAGTGTATGAGTGTAAAATTTAGTTATATCCGTTTTAACTACTAGTTTTGTAACTAAAATGAATGTATGAAAATGTTTAAAAACTCCGGTACGTTTGTTAATTGTTGGTTGGCTTTAGCTGGTTGGTTGGTTCGTACGTTCGTTTGTTTGGTTCATTGCTTTAGGTTGGCAGAAGTGTTTGTGTATGTGTGTGTTTGTGTTTGGATTGATGTTATCTAACACTTGGGCTGCTTTTTCTTATCAGTGCTTTATCAGTTTTTGTATATTTTATACTTTCTGTTGTTGTTGCTGTTTGTTTTGTTGTTTCCCAAACGTATAGAAATACGTATATGAGAGCAGAAATGTGTGTGTATGGTAATGTGTGGTTGTTGTGTAGTGGAACAAAAGGAAATTACAATAATAAGTAGAGGAGCTCCTCTAAGTACTGTAGAACTAAGCAAATGTATGAATGACTGAATGACGTTGGTTGTTAAGGAAACATGATATCATTTGAGTTGTTGTTGTACAACTCCTTATTTCCATGTCCTGCCAATTTGATTTTCTACAAATATATACATAAAAGAAGAAAAAAACACTTAATTTTAAAATAAAGATAATTTTATTATATACAATTTGTGTCTTTTACGTAAAACTTGTAGTTATCATCGTGTATGCAGGCACAGAGGGACGTAAACTAACTTAAAATAATAAAACTCAGATACACCACCACTTCCACTGGTCTGGGGTTTCTAAACTGATATGCCATGCAACCAACCAACAGTTCATACAACCATAGGAGTCAGTCAGGATAGCAGTGTTGTCAATTGTGTTGTAAGATTAGATTTTTGGCGTTTTTTTAGAACATGTTTTGTTGGTAACAAAACGCAGAGTAAGTAAGTAAGTAAGTAAGTAAGTAAGTAAGTAAGTAAGTAAGTAAGTAAGTAAGTAAGTAAGTAAGTAAGTAAGTAGTAAGTAAGTAAGTAAGTAAGTAAGTAAGTAAGTAAGTAAGTAAGAAGTAAGTAAGTAAGTAAGTAAGTAAGTAAGTAAAGTAAGTAAGTAAGTAAGTAAGTAAGTAAGTAAGTAAGTAAGTAAGTAAGTAAGTAAGTAAGTAAGTAAGTAAGTAAGTAAGTAAGTAAGTAAGTAAGTAAGTAAGTAAGTAAGTAAGTAAGTAAGTAAGTAAGTAAGTAAGTAAGTAAGTAAGTAAGTAAGTAAGTAAGTAAGTAAGTAAGTAAGTAAGTAAGTAAGTAAGTAAGTAAGTAAGTAAGTAAGTAAGTAAGTAAGTAAGTAAGTAAGTAAGTAAGTAAGTAAGTAAGTAAGTAAGTAAGTAAGTAAGTAAGTAAGTAAGTAAGTAAGTAAGTAAGTAAGTAAGTAAGTAAGTAAGTAAGTAAGTAAGTAAGTAAGTAAGTAAGTAAGTAAGTAAGTAAGTAAGTAAGTAAGTAAGTAAGTAAGTAAGTAAGTAAGTAAGTAAGTAAGTAAGTAAGTAAGTAAGTAAGTAAGTAAGTAAGTAAGTAAGTAAGTAAGTAAGTAAGTAAGTAAGTAAGTAAGTAAGTAAGTAAGTAAGTAAGTAAGTAAGTAAGTAAGTAAGTAAGTAAGTAAGTAAGTAAGTAAGTAAGTAAGTAAGTAAGTAAGTAAGTAAGTAAGTAAGTAAGTAAGTAAGTAAGTAAGTAAGTAGTAAGTAAGTAAGTAAGTAAGTAAGTAAGTAAGTAAGTAAGTAAGTAAGTAAGTAAGTAAGTAAGTAAGTAAGTAAGTAAGTAAGTAAGTAAGTAAGTAAGTAAGTAAGTAAGTAAGTAAGTAAGTAAGTAAGTAAGTAAGTAAGTAAGTAAGTAAGTAAGTAAGTAAGAAGTAAGTAAGTAAGTAAGTAAGTAAGTAAGTAAGTAAGTAAGTAAGTAAGTAAGTAAGTAAGTAAGTAAGTAAGTAAGTAAGTAAGTAAGTAAGTAAGTAAGTAAGTAAGTAAGTAAGTAAGTAAGTAAGTAAGTAAGTAAGTAAGTAAGTAAGTAAGTAAGTAAGTAAGTAAGTAAGTAAGTAAGTAAGTAAGTAAGTAAGTAAGTAAGTAAGTAAGTAAGTAAGTAAGTAAACTAACCACCAACAGCAACAAACACGTCGTGTTAATATTATTGTTGACATCACTGACAGCCCAGCCATCGCAAACATCAACATGTATGGAGAGATAAAGATTGTATTTCGTATTTATACACTCACTCATATTATCACAAAATATCAGCTGTTTGTTATAAAGCCAACCAACAACAGCAACAACAAAAATCAACATGCGCTTCGTTTCATTCGTATCTTTGTATCTGGCAGCAAAAGCAAAAACAGAAATTCAACAAAAAAAAATATTCATTACTTAACGCTCTTTCGGTTTTTAGTTTATTACAGAACGCGAAACAAGCAACATAAACGGGTCGTTCGTATATACGTCAGACGTGTTTCAAATGTATGAAATTAATATAAAAAAATTATTAAAAAAGTAATAATAATAAACAAAACGCACATTTAATTTATACAACAACAAATATACAAAAATAGTAAAATGTTTATAAAACAAAATAAAAATAATAATAAAAGTGACAACAACAAGTACAATAAGAAATTATTTAAACGAAATAAAACCAAATAGTTTTGAAATATATAATCGCAATGAATAATTAAAGAAAAACGCGCGTTCTTAAAAGAATTTATACAATTAAAAAAGAGATTAAATTATAAAAAAAAACAAAATAGTAAATTAATATTATTTACTATGTTACTATAAATTTTAAAAATTATTAAAAAAATTCCCCTAGTGTTTAAATAATAAGAAATATTTTAAGTGTTAAAGAAAGTAAAACTGAAAAATAATAAAGTGCAAGTGTTTAAATTATAGAAAATAAAAATAAAATTTTATAGAAATCTAGTAAAACCTGACATCCGGTTAATAACACTAAACAGCTGTTTTTTGCTGCAAAATATGTTTGGTAATTAACTAAATTGTGGATTATTTTTACAAAAACAAACCAAAATTACTATTGGATTATACAAAAAAGGATTACTTTATAAAAAATTTGGATTATTTATAAATTTCTTATAGAAATTATTTAAAAAAAACAAGTAAGACTTAACTCTCTCTCTCTCCCTCTCTGTGTCTATGAAAGAAAAGAATTTGAAAATAAACTCCGGTTTAGCTATAAGGATGTTTAGTTTGAGGACTTTTGGAATTATCAAAATTAAAATTTTTATAAAAATTTTAAAAAATAACATTTCCATCGATTTAGAAAATACTTCTAGAAATGTTCTCAAATTTGTTTTGACATTTCTGAATCACAATTTTGTATTAATGAGTTTATTTTATTTCTCACGAATTGGAATGTGTGATTGAAATGTTGGAAGTACTATGTTCCGGTTTTTGTGGTTTAGAATCTCTCGAAGTTTTTTTTGTTGCTAATGAGATCTTAAAATTTGATTTGTTTAAACAAATCTAGTGTTTAATTCAAGCAATAAAAGTTGGAATATGAATAAAGATGAGGTAATGATCGAAATTTCCAATATTTCGAAAAAGAGTTAATGCATCCGATTATAAGCAGTCACTTTCGCTAACGTCTAACCTGTTTGGCTCTAATCGTCTTTCGTCGCGAATGTAAATTTGAGTGAAGATAGTCGTTACTTCAGTATCCCGCGAGAGCTGATATAGAAAGTGGACACTTTAGAAAATAAACTTAAGCAAAAATATTGACTCCTAATCCAAGCTTTCTGACTGTCTTTTCGTAATCTGTGTAGTTACGATTGACTTCGTCGTAGGACAATCATATGTTAATCACCAGGGCAGTCGGTGGATAGGAATAAACCTAAGTAGTAGGTTTGATGGATAGTTCGGAACTTGTCTATAGTCTAGTCTATAGTGTGGTCTATAGTATAGTCTATAATCTAGTCTATTCTATAGTCTAGTCTAGCCTATAGTCTAGTCTATTCTATAGTCTAGTCTATTCTATAGTCTAGTCTATTCTATAGTCTAGTCTATTCTATAGTCTAGTCTATTCTATAGTCTAGTCTATAGTCTAGTCTATAGTCTAGTCTATAGTCTAGTCTATAGTCTAGTCTATAGTCTAGTCTATAGTCTAGTCTATAGTCTAGTCTATAGTCTAGTCTATAGTCTAGTCTATAGTCTAGTCTATAGTCTAGTCTATAGTCTAGTCTATAGTCTAGTCTATAGTCTAGTCTATAGTCTAGTCTATAGTCTAGTCTATAGTCTAGTCTATAGTCTAGTCTATAGTCTAGGTCTATAGTCTAGTCTATAGTCTAGTCTAGTTCTAGTCTAGTCTATAGTCTAGTCTATAGTCTAGTATATAGTAGTCTATAGTATAGTCTATAGTCTAGTCTATAGTCTAGTCTATAGTCTAGTCTATCGTTTCTTAGTCTATAGTCTAGTCTATAGTCTAGTCTATAGTCTAGTCTATAGTCTAGTCTATAGTCTAGTCTATAGTCTAGTCTATAGTCTAGTCTACAGTCTAGTCTAGTCTATAGTCTAGTCTATAGTCTAGTCTATAGTTAGTCTATAGTCTCGTCTATAGTCTAGTCTATAGTCTAGTCTATAGTCTAGTCTATAGGTCTAGTCTATAGTCTAGTCTATAGTCTAGTCTATAGTCTAGTCTATAGTCTAGTCTATAGTCTAGTCTATAGTCTAGTCTATAGTCTAGTCTATAGTCTAGTCTATAGTCTAGTCTATAGTCTAGTCTATAGTCTAGTCTATAGTCTAGTCTATAGTCTAGTCTATAGTCTAGTCTATAGTCTAGTCTATAGTCTAGTCTATAGTCTAGTCTATAGTCTAGTCTATAGTCTAGTCTATAGTCTAGTCTATAGTCTAGTCTATAGTCTAGTCTATAGTCTAGTCTATAGTCTAGTCTATAGTCTAGTCTATAGTCTAGTCTATAGTCTAGTCTATAGTCTAGTCTATAGTCTAGTCTATAGTCTAGTCTATAGTCTAGCCTATAGTCTAGTCTATAGTCTAGTCTATAGTCTAGTCTATAGTCTAGTCTAGTCTATAGTCTAGTCTAGTCTATAGTCTAGTCTAGTCTATAGTCTAGTCTAGTCTATAGTCTAGTCTATAGTCTAGTCTATAGTCTAGTCTATAGTCTAGTCTATAGTCTAGTCTATAGTCTAGTCTATAGTCTAGTCTATAGTCTAGTCTATAGTCTAGTCTATAGTCTAGTCTATAGTCTAGTCTATAGTCTAGTCTATAGTCTAGTCTAGTCTAGTCTATAGTCTAGTCTATAGTCTAGTCTACTCTATAGTCTAGTCTATAGTCTAGTTTATAGTCTAGTCTACTCTATAGTCTAGTCTATAGTCTAGTTTATAGTCTAGTCTATAGTCCAGTTTATAGTCTACTCTATAGTCTAGTCTATAGTCTAGTCCATAGTCTAGTCCATAGTCTAGTCTATAGTCTAGTCTAGTCTATAGTATAGTCTATAGTCTAGTCTATAGTCTAGTCTATAGTCTAGTCTATAGTCTAGTCTATAGTCTAGTCTATAGTCTAGTCTATAGTCTAGTCTATGGTCTAGTCTATAGTCTAGTCTATAGTCTAGTCTATAGTCTAGTCTATAGTCTAGTCTATAGTCTAGTCTATAGTCTAGTCTATAGTCTAGTCTATAGTCTAGTCTATAGTCTAGTCTACAGTCTAGTCTATAGTCTAGTCTACAGTCTAATCTATAGTCTAGTCTGCAGTCTAGTTTATAGTCTAGTCTATAGTCTAGTCTATAGTCTATTCTATAGTCTAGTCTATAGTCTAGTCTATAGTCTAGTCTATAGTCTAGTCTATAGTCTAGTCTATAGTCTAGTCTATAGTCTAGTCTATAGTCTAGTCTATAGTCTAGTCTATAGTCTAGTCTATAGTCTAGTCTAATCTAGTCTATAGTCTAGTCTAGTCTATAGTCTATAGTCTAGTCTATAGTCTAGTCTATAGTCTAGTCTATAGTCTAGTCTATAGTCTAGTCTAGTCTATAGTCTAGTCTAGTCTAGTCTATAGTCTAGTCTAGTCTATAGTCTAGTCTATAGTCTAGTCTAGTCTAGTCTATAGTCTAGTCTAGTCTATAGTCTAGTCTATAGTCTAGTCTATAGTCTAGTATAGTCTAGTCTATAGTCTAGTCTAGTCTAATCTATAGTCTAGTCTAGTCTATAGTCTAGTCTATAGTCTGGTCTATAGTCTAGTCTATAGTCTGGTCTATAGTCTAGTCTATAGTCTAGTCTAGAGTCTAGTCTATAGTCTAGTCTGTAGTCTAGTCTATAGTCTAGTCTCTAGTCTAGTCTATAATCTAGTATACAGTCGAGTATATAGTTTAATCTACAGTCTAGCCCATAGTCTAGTCAACAGTCTAGTATATGGGGTAGTCTTAGCCTTTTTCGCCGTCAAGCTTAAAAAGATGTATAAGTTTTATTCATACGATTGTTAATTTAGTCTATTGTCTAGTCTACAGTCTAGTATACAGTCTAGTCTATAGTCTCGTCTATAATCGTGTTTATAGTCTAGTCTATAGTCTTGTTGATAGTCTAGTCTATAGTCTTGTCTATAGTCTAGTCTAAAATCTAGTAGTCCTAGCCTTCTTCGACGTAAAGCTTAAGAAGATGTATACGATTGTTAATTTCAATATTTAACCCCATACTTGATCATGAAAGTTTTTGCTGGACAATACTCCGCTTTGATATTGAACAAGTTTCGCTTCATATTTGATCCGATTTCAATAACAACATTAATATTTCAAAAGCTTTCAAATTATGTTATACAAATTTATAATAATGAAAAACTCCTTTCTTTTCCACAATATTAGTGAAACAATAAGATCTGTCAAATGCCTTAAAGCAGTTCAATTGTTTTCGAATTCAAATTTCGAACAAAAGAATGTTAAAATGGTGTTTTATATTTCATTCTTAATTTTTTTCAATATACAGTGTCTCTCATAATTATTCGAATTGGGTAAACAATAAAAAGAAACCAAATTTAATAATATATTTTGTGTGCAAAATAAATAAATTAATTTGTTATATTGTCTAGATAGTCCTTATGTTTGATATCACGCTTTTTAAAATTTGAAAAATTTGCATTGACTTAAATTAATTGTGCTTTTTAAAAAAAAGTCCATGAAATTGCCTCACAAAAGTATACGAATTTTTCCTGTATTTCATATTTGATCATATTATACGCAACACAAATTTTAGAATCGAATGGTTTTTATGCGTAATATTGTTTTAAGGGGTTACTATCCACGGAAAGGATATATTTTTGGCCCATTTGGTCCACAATTTTGGGGAATTTGTACCCTCTTTTCATGTAATATCATTAAAATGGCGATTTTTGGCCATAATTGTAATTTTTCTCTTTTTTTCCAGAGATAAAACAAAAATTTGATATTGGGACTTAAAAGACCCCTTGGGGTATCTAAAAATAATATTTTTTGTTACAAGAATCTGTATTTAAACGTTCCAAGATAAATTATTCGGATCATTCTTCTGTCGCTAATTCAATATATTGGAACTTAAGTCCATTTTTATAATACTAGGATCAACTATTTTCGAGGAAAGTTTTCTGGTATATATTCTTTTAGATATCAGCTTTTATACATTTTAAGTTTTCAAAGTGTTGTGGAAGTGTACAACTCCAAAACATGCCTCGAAGAAGCACCATTCAAAATAGTAAAATCATTATTTTTATATACCAATGGCCTCCATGCTGCATGGCACGATATCATTATGATCACATGAAAAATGTTGATATGTGTTTAAATATTATTTACTATGATCAAATTAAAACCAAAATTTAGGACTTACAGTGTTATTGTAACGGGCAACATAAGCGTGAAAGTTACGAGTAGTAAAAACTGAATTTTACTATATAGGATGACGTTTTGTTAAGACATGTTTTGGGGATGTATACCGCTTTAATATATTGAAAATTTAAAATACATTAGTGCCAATATGTACATGAATATAC